TGAGGAAAACTGATTGTACTTCATTTCATTTGGCTAAAAATATCACTGAATTAAAAATGAAGATAATCAACAATGGCAGTACAATGCAAATCAATGAAAATAAATCATTTTCTGTGGATTTTGTGAAAAGTTTTGACATGGGAGACCTTTAAAGGTAAGGAATATATAGTAATATATTTCTAACAAAACAAGCTTGGCTCATCTTTAAAAGTCAGCCTCATCTCACAGCTTTGGAAGGGAAGGTCCTCTCTTGCTCAAGCAGGAAAGAGTAGGACACCCTTCTGGCCAGTAAGTCATTCAGCAACATCACTTATGGTCATTCCAAAGAAAAGGACTCAGGTTGCTATCTTGGGTTGGCAACTTTAGGTATTTTAAGTTTGCAAGCATTAAGCAAATAACTTAATTGTTAAGACTGTAGCTTTAGGGAAGTTTTGTTTTAAGAGGTCAAACACCAGCTTTGCAACATAACTCTTCTGACCTCTTTGACTTCTTAAGAGATTTATTTTTCCTAAATAACATGATTTTTAAAAATATAGTTTTATATTGATAGTTTATTGAAGTAATTGACTGTTTAAATGTTTATATATGTCTTTTTGGTTATCTTTCAGCGCTTTGATGCTGAGATAGACCATTTGAACAGCATTACCCAGTATCTGAGATGGCCTCTGTGTGCATGTCTCTGTTTCTGTCTTTGGTAGTAGAGGTGCAGAGGACTGAGGTAACCATGGTGCATCTTTGTGGTATGCCAGTCTCTTTTATCCAGGCTGAAAGTCCTTAATCTTGTTAACATCTAAGACTCCTTTATGCATGTAAGAATAATATATTTGCACAATTTTTACTATTCAACAGCATTTTATTTATTTTTATTTTTGGACTTTAAGATTATTTTAAAAAATTTAAAACACCATGTTCACTTGGTTTAAATTCAAAACGTACAAAAGTTTTTACTGCTAAAAGGTTATGAGTCTTCCATTCTATACCCTAGTCTCTTGACTCTCACTTCCTTTATGTTCTTACAGTTAGTTTTGTTAGTTGTTTTGGTGTATCCTTTTTTTAAATGTAATTTTTTTATTTATATAAGACAGCAGAATGCATTACAATTCTTATTACATATATAGTAAACAAATTTTCATATCTCTGGTTGTATACATAGTATATTCACATATAATTTGTATCTTGTGTCTTCATACCTGTACTTTGGATAATAATGATCATCACATTCCCCCATCATTAATTAACCCATGCCCCCTCCCTTCCCCTCCAACCCTCTGCCCTATCTAGAGTTCTTCTATTCCTTCCATGCTCCTCTCCCTATCCCACTATGAATCAGTCTCCTTATATCACAGAAAACATTTGGCATTTGGTTTTTTGGGATTGGCTAACTTCACTTAGCATTATCTTCCCTAACTCCATCCATTTACCTGCAAATTCCATGATTTTATTCTCTTTTATTGCTGAGTAAGATTCCATTGTGTATATATGCCACATTTTAAAAAAATCTATCCATCTGTTGAAGGGCATCTAGGTTGGATCCACAGTTTAGCTATTGTGAATTGTGCTGCTATAAACGTTGATGTGGCTGTGTCCCTGTAGTATGTTGTTTTTAAGTCTTTTGGGTATAGACCGAGGAGAGGGAAGCTGGGTCAAATAGTGGTTCCATTCCCAATTATCCAAGAAATCTCCATACTGCTTTCCATATTGGCTGCACCAATTTGCAGTCCCACCAGCAATGTATGAGTGTACCTTTTCCCCCACATCCTCGCCAACCCTTATTGTTTGTCTTTGTAATAGCTGCCATTCTGACTGGAATGAGATGAAATGTTAGAGTGGTTTTGATTTGCATTTCTCTAATTGCTAGTGATGATGAACATTTTTTCATGTATTTGTTGATTGATTGTACATCATCTTCTAAGAAGTGTCTGTTCAGGTCCTTGGCCCATTGGGTTATTTGTGTTTTTGGTGTTTAGCTTTTTGAATTCTTTATAAACCTAGTGATTAGTGCTCTATCTGATGTGTGAGGGGTAAAGATTTGCTCCCAAGATGTAGGCTCTCTATTCAGCTCACAGATTGTTTCTTTTGCTGAGAAGAAGCTTTTTATTTTGAGTTGGTGTATCCTTTTAAAGATAAGCATGCATATACAATCAATGTTTTTTTTTGTCTTTGCCCAAGCATTTATTTATATATTGACCTTGTGAATATTGTTTTTTGGAATATGTTAAAAAATGCCAAGTTTCATTTAAAATATCAAAGGTAATATAGTCCTATCATTAGGGTACAAATTATTTCTGTAAGTTTTTTAAAATATTAAAATTAGTTCAAGAATTAACCCCCATGTCCTACCACCCATACAACTTTGTGAAGAAGCAGTATATGGGGATCTTCTGAAGGTCCATGGATATGGATCAAGGTCCCACATTTCTCTGCTCTCTCAGGGGGCACATCGTGTTCTGAGGCCCTTCCACGTCTCTGTCCATAGTTATGTTTTCTGTTCATGAGGAGTTATCTTTTGAACATCTTAGGCTCACAGAAGGCTCTTTTGTGTTCTGTAGGTGATTTCATTCGTGTACCCTCCTCCTTTTATATAGTTTTGCTTCTGAATTTAAATTTTCTATGAGTTTTTATATTTGTATTCATACTTGGAAGAAGCTGTATTTTACTTTTTGTGGTGCTGGGATTAAACTCCAGTTCCTTGTGCATGTTAGGCAAATGCCCTACTGCTGGTTTACATCTTCAGTCCTGGAAACTTTGTTTAATCTGATTTTTTCTAGTCCTAGTTGAATAGATAAGTGTAATAATACTGGGAACCATTTGAAGCTGGCTGTTCTTTTGAATTACACTTCTATCCAGTGGTGGTTGAGAGGATGAAATTTGGAACAAGGCTGCCCGGGTGTGAGGTCTTGCTCTGTTGCTTACTGAGAATATGGCCTGGACAAGTTGCTTAACCCTTTTAGTTTCTGCTTTTAGTTTCCTACATTGTTAAGTAGGAAGATAACAATATTATCTACTTCAGAAGTGTGCTATTATATTATGTAATATCCTCATGTAACACATATCAAATGTTTGCTACTTGTATTTTTATATGTTTGTGATTTTATTAGACCTTTGCAGGATATGATTTAGTATTTTGACATTATAATTTTCAGCATTTTTGTATTTGGTTAAAGCAGTTATTTAACTCTGGATTCCAGGACATAACCTTCTTATTTTAACAGTAACTATAAATCTGTCCATAAACTGTTTGGATTAAATAGTAGGTTTCTATACTATAGTATAGAAAAGTATTTTTTCCCCTCATTTTCTTAACCTTATTGTTTGTGAATACTGTTTCCTAACCTCTGTATTCTTTTTTTTTTTTTATGTGTAGAGCAGTATGATTTCCTATAATGATAATGCAAATCACATACCTAAAAAAAGTTTTAGTAGCCACTTTAAAAAGTAAAAAGAAATGTGCTTAATTCATTTTACCAATGTAGTTTAACACAGTGTATAAACTATTATTTTAACAGTATAAAATGATTCAGATATTTCTCATTCTTATTTTTTTGCATTGTCTTTAAAACCCTGTATATTTTCCATTTATGGTACCTTTCAATTAAGTGTAGCCATATTTCAAGCGCTCAATAAGCACACCTGGCTAGTGGTATTGGATAGCAGTTATAGAGTCTGAACTTCTTTTAAAGTTGTCTTTTTACTTAGCGAGGGTTTTATAATACTGTACAACAACTGATAAAGTGAGATGTACAAATAGGTAGATAGAAATGATTAGCTTATAGTCTTGAAGGAACCAGGGGAGAGGTTTGTATTGGGTGTGATAAATGAATATGTAGATTTAATTGAAGTTCTGAAGTTAGGAAGCAGGATGAAACCCTAACACTTCAAAGAGTAAAGTCTTGGAAAATTCCTAGAAAAGGAGACTGTTGTAAAACAGCGAAAACCCATCAGCTGGAGGAGAACTGTAAGGCAGTGGTGCAGTGGAAACCAGCAGGAGGTAATTTCAAAGAGACAGGTTAATAGAAGTGCCCCATGCCATAGTACAGTGAAGAATGAAAGTGCACAACTGGTTGGTTTTGTCCAACCTGAGTAGCTATTTCAGTAAAGACAGGAAAATCAAGATGTGTTAATTGAGCATTGAATGGAAGTTGAAGTAAAGACAATGAACATCCATTATTGTTTTTGGAAGCTTGATAGGGATAGTTGGTAATAAGTATATTATTGGCAGAGGAGAAGGAGCCAGTGAAGAGGACAAGATTGGAGCTAGAGGTAAAGAAGGAAAATGATGGACGAAATTCCTAGAAATGGCAGAATAAATAGGATTCAGTACACAGGTAGAGGGTATAGTAGTGGAAAAAAAAAGAGGGACAACCATGAGACAGGAGTTTAGATGTTATGAAATGGGAGAATATATATGATAGAGTGGGTTCTCAGTTGCAGGTAACAGCTAGTTTGAGTTGCAGATAGCTAGGTGTTTAAACATACTCAGATATGTTACATGCTTCTTAATTTCTAGAAGTGCTGCAGAACCAAACTTGACTGTTAATAGCTAGGAATAGCCCAAGCCAAGATAAACACACCATGATACTATTTTAGGAGACACTCATTGCTGTTTGCTAGGAATCTCAAAATTACAAAATGTTTTCACCCAAGATGTGATCTTGTAGTTGGCCACAACCTTTATTTTGGTTCACTTCTGTTTTGTAAATCTTGTATGGCTTTGGTTGAACCTGGGTTTCCTGTGGAAGAATGAGTTGAACATGTAGTTTTTAGCTTTTAGTTTTTATTTTTTCTCCTTAAATAAGGAGGTTAGTGCATGCTGGAAAGGGACTACAGTCCTACTGTGGTTCAATTTCTTATTCTTTCATAAGTTATATTAAAGTTGTAAGTCAGGGAGACAGTCATTTGAAAGGGTAACTAACCTAGATTGTCTGCTTAGAAAATGGCTTACTTATATGGCTCTTAAGTTGATTTTGGCTATTTGGCTATTTGTACCTTTCTTGAGTGCCTTCACAACATAGCAACTGGCAGCTGACTTCTTCCAAAATGAGTGATCCAGGACAGCAAAGAGGAAACTGCAGCATGGTTTTGGGACAGACACCATGGATTTCACTGTGTTCTTCTGGTCACTCACACCAACCCTGATGTGGGATATGGGACAATATATACAAAGGCATGTATTCCCTAGAGGTAAGGATTATTGGGGTCCTTTTGGGCAACCTTACACCCTCTTTCTTTGGCAGAAGTTAATCAGATTCATCTGCAGAAACAAAAACCAAAATTCTTTTAATTGAATGGAATTTGATGAAAATTTAGATAGAATGTGATTCTTTGTGTTAAGGGTACAAAGTATGTAGTGTCATCAGCCAGTTTATTTTATTTTATTAAATTAAAAGTATTTTTATTGTGCATTATAACTATGCATAATAGTTGGATTCATTGTGACAAACTTGTTCGTGTATGTAGCATAAAATGTCAATTTAATTCCCATTTCCCTCTACTCCTCCTCCCCCTGTTCCCCTTTCCCTACTCCATTGGTCTCCCTTCTATTTTCTTTTTTATATCTTTATTTTTATGTGGTGTATTTTTATGTGGTGCTGAGAATCGAACCCAGTGCCTCATGTATGCTAGGCGAGCACGCTACCACTTGAGCCACATCGCCAGCCCCTCCCTTCTATTTTCATGGGATCACTACTCCCTTTTTCCCTTTTTTACTCTCTAATTTCCACATATTACAAGAAACATATGACCTTTTTTTTTTTTTTTTTTGTAAATTCTTTGCAATGACATATTCTCAGGCTGTTTTTTTTTTTTTTTAAATTATTTTTTAGCTGTAGTTGGACACAATACCTTCATTTTATTTATTTTGTGTGGTGCTGAGGATCGAACTCAGAGCCTCGCATTTGCTAGGTGAGCACTCTACCGCTGAGCCACAACCCCAGCCCCTCAGGCTTATCCTCTAAGGGTAGAATGTATCAGAAAATCATCACTCATTCTAGGTGTATATATTTTGGAGTGTGCAGACAATGAAGTTGTAATACTTTGCTTCCATAGTTCTTATTCTGTTTTTACTTCTGAAATGCAGATGTCTGAGTAGCTGTTGCCATGGTTCTTTCTTGGTCTCAATTGTCTAAGACCCTGACTGACTTTGAGAATTGGAGTGAAGATCTCTGTGACTTAATAGATTGTATATATAGGTCATTCTCTCATGCTTTGATCACATTTTCTTGTTTATTTCTTTCATATCATGTGTCACAAATTGGAATGATATTGCTGCTGTACTTGTTTGTCTTCTGGCATCCTTCTGCTGTTCCCCAAAATTAAGCTCCAGCAGGGCAGGGCTTTGTTTGGCTTGTTCACTGCTGAATTCTCAGCATTGATAGCAGTGCCTGGTAGATGTTCAATATTATTTTGGGAGAAAATGTACTACATGATCATTATTTGAAACACGTCATTTTGAAAAGTAATTTTACCCTCCTCTACTTGATTTTTATCTTTTCAGCTTGCATGTGTTTACGACATACCTACTCCAGGATGTTCTCTGTGGCTATGAATGCTTTCCCATCTTGTTCATAGTTGGTGCCTGGAAATTTCTCCATGGTTTCTTTCTGATACAAGTTATTATGACTGTGTTATTTCTGCTAAAAATTTATTATTTTAAGAGATGTGTTTGGCTAATTTTGTAATTTTGTGCTATGTGAACTGTTTGGGAGCCACATTTCCTTTTGCTTTTATTGGTTCTCTCTCTCTCTCTCTCTCTTTTTTTGCTTTTCATATGGTCCTTTTTTTTTTTCCCCCAGTTCTGACCCTGTCAGCATTGTTAAACTATACCTCTGACTTTAATATATGCAGCACATGTTATCTACTATGGGGTATATGGTAACATCTTAGTTATTTTCAAGACTGTACAAGGCCTTTAGGGAACATAGGGCTGTGTGAGTTAAGTAATAGTTTACATCTGATGTATTGCTTTCCAGAAAGTAGTGTTCCTAAGGTATTTTCCCCAGATCAGCAAGTGTTTGTGTACTTCTGTTTGGGATGAAAACCTCAAACCTGGACTGATTATCCATATGCATTCCAACTCCCCCCCTGAGATTTTAAGCAGTTCTCTGCAGAGGTTTTTGACAGTTTTTTGGATTATGGGCCTTCTTGCAAATTTGACAAACTATTGACCTTCTCTCTAGAGACATATCCATTTACATAAACCCACAAACTTTACGTTCTTCATACAGGAGTACATAGACTTCTGAAAATCATTCATTGACCAAGGTTAAGGACCTTTAATCTGAATTATTATTATTATTATTATTATTATTATTATTAATTGATTTGGGGAATCCTTGGGAAGACTGAAGAAGCTCTTACTAATTAAAAATAACTATAGAATCACTGAGCACATTTCTATTCTTAGACATTCTTTTCCCATCTTGTAATATCCAAGAGACAGACCAAACAATCCAAGTCAGCTCTTGTCCAGATCAAGATTCAGAATTCAGACTGGATTTATTTTTAAGATAACAACTTAATTATGTCCTTTGTGATCTGACAGATACCTTTGCATTAGGCCTGAATCGACATCTGCAGAGATATTGGTATACCTGGTTTATCAGGTAAGTGAATTTTGTGTAATTTTTCTGTCTCCATCAATTTAGTCCTTTGGCAGTCTGTGACATTTCCTGTCATGTGCTGTTTATTGCAATGTGGGTCAGTAAGATGATCAAAGTTTCTAAAGAGAAGGAAGCAGTCTTTCGTAAGTTTTACCAGATCACTTCCCTGCTGCTTGAAGTCAGATTTCTTTATTTTTATTTTATCTCATTATTATTTCATATATTCACACTTCTATAGTAGATTAAAATTCCTCACTCCTCTTTTTATGCATATACTTTAGAGGTTGTGGACAGCTCTCATATTGTTTCTTGGTTGTCAGCCAAGTTGTACACATTTAACTCCTTTAATCTTTCTTTGTAGTCAAGTTAGCTTGGCTGCTTTTTCCAGATCCCACCCCCCCAACCCCCCCAATTTCCTCCCCCCCCTTAACAAAAAAGAAAAAAAAAAAAGCAAAAAGCCCATTGCTTGGCTTCTTCTACACCTTTTATTCTTTTTTGATTTCTGGTTTTACCTCCTATTGCTTGTTGAACTAAAGTTCATTGAGCCATTGGCAATACATGAACTCCTTGCCTACAACTATCAGTGTCCCATTTAGTAATAGCATCAGCAGTATATCCTAGAGCAAAGAAAAGAAAATGTAAAAGGAGAACACTGAGGAGCAACATAAAGCATTCTTCAATTATACAGAAGATTTAGACATGCCAAACAAAGTGAATAATTGTACCTGAACCCTTTAACACAGCTTTTATTGTCCCTAAGTATTGAGCATAAGCATAGGCATGAATCTGAATAATAAGAGAAGCATGAATATTGTTTGAAGTTTGGCCACTGCTCTCACTTGGTTTCTTCCCCATGTTCTCACTCCCCTACTGCCTTTTCCAACACTGATCGTGACTTGCTATCAGATTCTGTGGCCCTGAACAAAACTGGGCAGGGGATCATTTTGTGAGAAATTAGATAGGCTCAGGTGGTGAATGCTCCATGCCTCCATGTGTGACATCTGAGGCAAGTGCTTTAGTATTTGCTATTTCTATAACAGCCATTGGTTTTCTTTTAACAGTTGATTTGATGGAGATTTGCAGGAGGAAAAGACTGGTAGACTTTTAGTGTTATTTATCAGCACTGTATTAGTTGTGTAACTCCTCCCCCCCCTCCCCTGATTGGCAGGGAGAAACATACTGTTTTTGTATGATACTGAGCTTAGTGTGAAAATAAGCCAGCATGGGATCTGGTCTTGTCACAGTTCATTCTTTCTTTTCATTTGGTGTGTAGAAAATGGACCTCCACTTCTACTTATCTTGTGCATTAGAGAGAAAAAGGTCACACTCTCAGAGATGATAGTTTATTGGTGTTTTTAGTCACCAGATTCAGATAGTATATTTAGTTGAAGGTTGAAATAGCACACACTTGGCTTTCTCGTTTGTTTTTAGCTTTGCTTCTAGTACAGAATTGAATAGGATAGAAGAGACGGTTTTTCTGTTTGTATCTGTGGCAACTTTCTAGATGATTTGTGGTTTAATCCTTTACACATTCTTTTTTCAGTCATTTACCATGTCTTTCCTTGTGAAGGCATAAGACATTCAGATTCTAATGTTATAATTTTTTCCTCAGATTATTAAATCTGGAGAAATCAGGGTCAGAATAGCAGCTGATTTACTTCCCTATGTCTTGTGACCTAAAAATTATAATAATTATGTTAGTTCTTCTTCTTCTTCTTCTTTTTTTTTTTTTTTGCTGAATTTCATGGGCTACCTTCATACTATCAGATTTTAAATAAGATTATGTGATTGTGAATCATGTATTTCTTGGTCTCAGGCCTCTTAAGCAGGTAGCTTTATGACTTGGACACTCTGTAAATCTGATTTTTTAAATAATGTTAATCTCTCACATGGCTCAAACTGTCAACATTTTATACTCAACATTAATTGTGTTAGGCAATTGATACATTCTTTACCATAACTCTTGTTTCTTGAGTCTTTTCAAAACCTGTCAAAGAAAACAAAAAGCTAACCTAACTTTAAAGGGGCTAAAAAGAAAAAAATTCCCCCAACCCATACTATATTATTCTTTGTTCTCTATTTGCATCAAAGTGACAATCCCACACTGTCTCAATTGAGGGAGTCTAGCACAAAAATAACAAACAGCCTGGCACTGCTATAGGCTTGCAGCCAAAATGTTTTGTGTAGCTTGGTTCTGGCAGTGGTTTTTGTGAGGCAGAGGGTCTACCCTTACAGCATCACTTAAGGAAGGCAAACAGCCGATTTCTTTCTTATACCCATTTTCCCCCCTCTTGTCTTCCTCTATCTTCATGCAGAGCACCATTGTGAGGGAGTGGGGGGAAACATTTTTTTTTTTTTTTTTTCTGAAGTAGAAATGCCATTCTCCTCACAACTCCCACATTTAGTAAATGGCATTGTTTCCCACAGAAGCTTGTGCTAAATTTGCCTTTTCCAGCTTTCCTAGAGACTTCCTTTACAGTTGCATTTTTGCCATACTTTGCAAAAAGCCTCCCTGAATGTTGCTAACTTTGGTCATGTTGACATTGTATTTTTGATTGGTTGGAATCTTGTCTTCATCACAGC